TCATACACTACCAAATAATAACAAAAACAACTTTTCATTTAATATGTAAAAATTAAATTAGACAAAAGTGGAATAATAAACATAAAATAATAGCATAAGACAATATCAAAAATATTATAATGAAAAAAAATATAAGAGATGAGAGATTAGTGAAGATGAAAAAGAAAGAACATAAGAGATGAGAGATTAGAGAAGAAGAAGTGTGATAAAAATGAAATTGAAAGAGAAAATATTTGCATAAATATGAGAAGGTGAAACATTTGCATAATGTGGTTTGATTCAGTTTGGCTCGATTTGTAAAATAAAAACCGCAAACTGAATCGAATCGAACCGTGTAGTTTTCTTAAAAGATGACCCAACACACATCCAAACCAAAAACATTTTTTTGCAGTTTCGGTTTAATTTGGTTTGATTAGCCGTTTTCTATTGGGTTGGTTCGGTTTTGAACACGCCTACTCATACCACTAGCGCTAGGATGGCCATTCACATCGTACATTGTAGTTAGGACAAATATATCAGTTTTTTGTTGGCTCACAATGGCAAAGATGGGTCAACAGAGATAATAGTGAAGTCTTAATAGCATATATATATATATATATATATATATATATATATATATATATATATATATATATATATATATAATATATATATATATATATATATATATATATATATATATATATATATATTGAAGAATTTTTAAAATAAGAGATAGGAGGATTAAATGCTAACCATTAAATTTGATAAATGATCGTGATGAAATCACATGCAAGTATAGATAATAAATATTCATCAACACCATTTATCAAATCCAATTATTAGCATTGAATCCTCTTATCTCTTGTTTTAAAATAATATTTATACATATTTTTTAAAAATATATTATATATTATATTTTGAACTACATATATATTTACTTATATAATTGTGTTAATTTGCTTTTACTTACTTAACAAAAATTTTTTTACTTAAATATAAATATAATCCCTTACATACTATATATATATATATATATATATATATATATATATATATATATATATATATATATATATATATATATATATATATATATATATATATATTTAGTTATATAAAATTTAGTCCCTGTAAATTAGTGTATTTTTCATTTTAGTCTCTGTATCTTTTTTCTTGGAAATAATCCCTAATGTTAAAATCCTTTTTATTTTAGTCTCTAAAATTAAAATCTGCAGGAAAATTCGAAAGTAAATCTACAGAAGCCTACAAATTTTTCTGTAATTTTCGTTTTAGCGACTAAAACCAAATGAAGTTCAACATTTAAGAACTTTATCAAAGAAAAAAAAGATATAGGAACGAAAATCAAAAACACCCTAACTTACAGGGACCAAAAGACTATTTAAACTTATAAAAAATTATTAAATATATTTATATATTTTATTTTTATAAAATAAATATATATCAACAATATATAAAAAACATAAACAGCCCACAACTCTATATACATAAATATAAAAATATAAAAATAATACATACTTATTAAACAAGAAATCAAATGAAAAGGGAGAACTTTATTGAATTTTTATCAACTTTTTGAATCTTTGTCAACAAATAAAAAAATCAGATAATATAAAAATCAACAAATAAAAGAAAAATAAAATAATCAAATAAAAATAATACCTTCGAGTGTCAAAAATAATGGAGTGGATGCACTAATTTTTTATAGGAGGAAAAATGGTGGAGGAAGAAGAAACAAGGTGGAGAGGAAGAACAAGGTGGAAAAGAAAAATGGATTTGAGGCGAAAAGGAAGAAAAAAAAGGAAGAGATAAGTGTTATGTGATGAAGGTCACTTGAAGTGATTTTATAGAGACTTTAGTGTTATGAAATCCACGTTACTAATATTTGTATTGTTGGTGTTGTGATGTGATTCTCATGACATTAACAGTGTCTTGAAAATCACGTCACTATTTTTTTAGCCGTTGCATCTTGCGATGTGGAATCCATGACATAACTGAAAAGTTGTGTGTCAAAATATCTCAAGCGGTCAATATTTTCCATTAAAAATTTTGAAATTTTTTGAAATTTCATTTGATATAATTTTCACGTCACAATAAATTATTTAAAAAATTTTAAAATTCTTCCCATGATAAACCTGACATTTATTATCTTATTATTTTAAATGGTACCACGTAAATATCACGTCATTAAATTACGTGATTGGACAACTCTTTTCTTGTAGTGGTGAATTGTCTTTCGTCTCTTTGTCATCAACATCAATCTTATTTTGTATCGACTCATTAAATCTATGAGTTAAAAAAATTAACCGAATTTTATATAAATGACATTTTTTTAATGAAAATTACAAACTAACATGTAAATCAACATATAAACATCTTAAATAATATTTGCAAAATAAAATTTTTTTACAATTTTTAAACAAATTGAACTCACACATTTGTAAATTTAAAATCATAATTAAATGGTCCAATTCAAATCAATTTGAATTTGAATAAATTGATTGGGATTGAACTCACACTTAAAATGATTCGAATAAAATAAACTATGTATTAGATTGATTTGGATAATTGAGTTGAACAGATCGCTCAAACCGTTAACAAATACACTCAACTAGATACATCCGATAACTATTTATCTTATGAAAATTATTAAAAAGAAAGAAGAAAAGAGAGAGAAAAAAATCCAAACCTTAATTTTTGTTGATGGCAAAAAATGCACATAACACCATGTTACACTAAGAAACTGGTATCATTACGATTGCAAATAAAGTTTGGTGATGCAATTGTATGACATTAAGTTAAGAAAACAGATTTGAATTGTAATATAGAAACCATGTTAACTAATATGACAATAAAATATTCCTTGGAAGTTGCGTTTGCAACAGATAGTGGTCCTAGAAATTTTTATGTTTGCCAAAATAAGCACTACATGATGCACATTCAAACATTTACACTGGAGTCAATGACCAAAACTAGCTCTTGAATTAGGACAAGTTGACTGATATGAATAAAGGGTTTTTTTCTTCTGACCTTATGGCCTTTCCTTTTTCATTCATTGCTTAAACATGAATAGTTGTCAGTCTCCTTTTTAGTACAGGCTTACAACTTTACTTTCACCTTCTATTTTTATTACACTTTTCTTACTTTCATTTCTTAAAACAATTTCAAGTGTATTTAGTTTTAGTAACAAATTATTAGTTATGTCTATGAAATGTAGGTTTTTGTTGGTTCCACATCTGCACACGTGACAGAAAACCACTTTAAAGTAAAAGTTTTACTTTGTAGTTTGTGGAAATTAGGGTGAAAAAACATTTCATTATGCTGCATGCAACGGTAAATAGAATCGTCTTTTAAGTTTTTGAAAATTATATGTAGGTTAGAAATTGTTTAACCATGACAATATAATTACAGACATTATTTAATCATGTTTTAATCGGGAAAGATTTTATGAAATCTTATTTAAATAAGATTTAATTATAACAAATTTTACATCATGTATACTAACCCGAATTATAAAGACGTTTCTGACGGACCATATAGCATAAACAGATTAGTGTTATATTTAACGAACATTTATCCAAAAAAACAACCAAACATTTTACTTTTTTTTTAGGGATACACCAAAACATTTTACATTTGAATGTTCAAAAGTTAAAAACAAAAACTCATAATTGAAATTTGTTCCATACTTATTTTTCCTATAGCAAAATAGCCATGTTTCAACTCTGATTAGAGCTTTTACCTAAAATTCCTCTTTGCAATTCCATGTTTCAACTTTCCCTATCATTTCAAAGGAACATCCAATAGAATTCATGACTAACTATACAACCACTCAAAGCTTTCCAAAGATATCTCAAACCTATAAGCCCCATTTGTACAAAGAAAGTTCTTTCATCCACTAGCACTTGTTAGATGAGACAGGGGACCAAAGATAGCCATTATATTGTCTTTAGATAGATGCATGTGCCACATGACCCCTTAAAACTTTTTCTTTGAATACCATGTTGCCCTTAAAAAACACATGGCAATGTCTCATTTGTTGGAAGATAAATGGCCTACAAAATTGAATCTCTTTGTCCAACATCAATGAGCCTAGGAAGAATACTATCCCAATTGCACTTCCACTGTCATGAAATTGGCCCTTTGTACCTCTCTTGTCTCTTGTCTATAGTTTTATGGACCTTTTGATCTCAAAATTTAGTTACTTCATGACAAGCCTTGAACATCACTTTCTTAAAATCGGTCCCATTCTTTATTAATTAAACTTACCTATATTTTAATTTGGACCATAGTTCAACACTTTACCCCCATCAAATCATGTATCATTTGTCTCCCCATTTTATATCTTAATTGAATAGTTATGTCATCTTTGTTTCATACTTAAAGACCGACACGAGAATCCGAGTTAGGAGAATCTGAGTACGAATTCTGACTGAAACATTCACTTATTCGCATGTTCATGATCGTTTTTGAGGATATGCAAAAAGAACTACCGTATAGAGTCTAAAATTTGACACTAGTTAAAAAGGGTTTCATATAATATTTGTTAAACTAAACTGTGATTAAACTATACAAAATCTCTAAAAATTTAAGATAACTCTACTTGCAACAACAGTGTTTAACAACAACTTTCCATAGTATTATAAAAAAATGCCATACATCCATACACCAATTTAAAATCTTGATGAACACACAAGATAAGAGGATGACACTTTAAGGCCAGTAAAATATAAAAACTACTAATCATCATTGAATAATAAGTTAAGAAGAGGTACTTACTTACAAGTTACAACTTCAATAAAAATCAAAGTTTATAACAAGATACTAATAAAGTAGTTTAACTTTCATAGGTTCAAGTCAATCCAAGTAATATACATGAGAAATTAAAAGATTATAAATAAAAAAACAACAGAATACTGATAGTTGAAAACAGCTTCTTCCACCTCCAAAATTCTATATTGTCTCATCTTGCTTGCAATTGAAGTAAACACAGGTAACAGCTACCTTGAGATGTCATAATCTTGAGGGTATGCTAGCTGCTGTTCCATCTGCCAGCTTAACTTTGAAGCAACACCCTCATGACATGGAACATATTCCTATAAAATTCAACACACAGAAAAAAAATCTTATTTTCTGTCACTGCATAATTTTATAGATGAAAAATTGATCAAGCAGTGATATAAATGTGCTTATTGTTTTAATCTTTTTCTTTTCATTTTACAAAAATTTTCAGTTATCTATACTTATGTAGCATGAAATCACTCAAGTCAAAGAAACATCTACTTGATGTGACTTTGCTTCAACTTGTGTGAATCAAATTGAAAAGGATTTTTTAACTGTCACAATGCCAACAAAACCTTGCAAGAACTTTTGGAATAAACCAGAGGATATTGGACTGATTAAAAGTGAAGAAGATGTTAAGTTTTTGTTTTATTACAACAAGATTCAAAAGTGAGGACAAATTAATCACCTCCAATTTCTTGACTAACTCTTTTGCAGTTGGTGCGGATACGATTATGTGACGAGCATTTGGACTAATGAATCCTTCTTCGACAGCTTTGTCAATGAATGACAACAAAGAGTTAAAGTATCCATCAACATCTACTAATCCCACCTACAATTTTGGAATTTGAATCAAGATTAGTCGATGATTAATTTTCGATAAATATATATAGATTTCTTGAGGCCGATTTTTACCGGCTTGTCATGAATTCCAAGTTGAGCCCATGTTATCACTTCAAGAAGCTCTTCTAGAGTACCATATCCACCTGCATTAACTTGCATAAGTTAGTTCAGAAAATTCAACGCTAAAAAGCTTTAAAAAGACCGTCATCGATTATAATATATCTATAGGAAAAGCACGCCATTTCTCAGGAAAGCACCGAGATCAATGTTTTTTTATCTATCTAAAAGGAAAACGAGTCATTTCGCAGATGTTTTTTTATGTCTCTACGATCGCGATATGGTCACAATTGAAGCCACTTCAAACACATTTTGGTTGAAATTTTCGATGATATCATGAGTCGAAATGCGGCTAATTATATTCTAAATACTATTTAGTAGTAAGTATCACTTTTGTGTACAAATGTAGTACTAGTTATGTGATCTTGCAGTGTCAGGTTATGGTTACAATTATAATTTATAGGTGATTGATTCCTTATGATCCCAAGAAAGAGTGAATGAAAACACTGTCATTGCGTGCCTACAATCTCTCTGCCACAAATTTTCCATGCTCTAATAAATAAAATAACAACTACTACTACTAGCAGTAGAAAGGTTATTGAAAATGATCAAGCCTTTGTCAGGTGCAGGTGCTAATTGAAAAACGTTATGTTAAGAAATTTCCTTTTCTTTACTCTCTTTACTTTCTCTCATTATCAAATGAAGCAAGTTTTGTAGAATCACTCCACTGTTCAAAACACAAAAGTAGTGGAAAAAAAATGGTATATAACCTGAACCTGAAGCATAGTTGCTCAGAGAGGCACAGAAAAGCTATGATTTTCAGTCCAATAGGTAAGGTAAGGTCACTATCATTATGCATTATGAAGTATGCTTTGAAGGGTAGGGGTTGCTCTATTTTTACATTGGAATGTGTGAGAAGAAGAGAAACCATAAAAACATGGTGGCAATGCAATGGTTGTTAGCAACAACACAAAACATTAAAACAACATGATTTGAGTCACTTTCTTATGATGATGAAATTCCTTTCCTGTCCTCAAGAATTGGACCACACTAGTCAAAGTTATTCATTACTTGTTGTGACTTCCAAATCAAATCAACAAAAAGCATTATTAAATTCATCTCTAAAAAAATGAAAGATAAAAAGGTTTACCAAAGAAAAAAACCACACAAAACAAAACAATCCTTGGATTAATCTAGAAAGTTAAACAACTTTACTAGACAGAAAACAAAGAGAAAAACCATTCTGTCTTAAAATCATTCTTAAATGAACCAGACAAACACTAAGATATGGTAATTACTTCACACTAGGACTAAAAAATGTGACTCAAACAAATCAACAAACATGTTGCATGCTAACCTGGTAAAGCAATGAAAGCATCTGAATGTTTAGCCATTTCAGCTTTCCTTTGATGCATATCAGCCACAGCTTTTACTTCTCCTACTGTTTCACCAGTAAGCTGCAAAAAATGACATGAAAATTCAAAACCAAACAGATCATAAACAACAATTTTTTAAGCAAAATCTGATTAAAAAAAAGTACTAATTGATTAAAAAAAAAGAACTTTATTAAGAAATGGAAAAAGGGGTTAAGCTTTTTGTACCTCTCTAGGCATGAGTGTCTTGGGAATAACTCTGAAACAAACAAGAGACAATAAAATGACAAAGATAGTGTTAGTTAGTGTTAATTAATGAGTGAAATTAAAAACATCATTAACTATGAGTTTGTTCTTTTTGTTATACCCAATGACATGGCGACCACCATCATGAACAGCTTGAGAAACCAAACCCATTAGTCCAATGCTTCCACCTCCATAAACAAGATCAATGTTCCTTGAAACCTTCACATAAAAACATCATTAACAATGGTTATAGTCATGTATCATATGGAAAAAAAAATGAAAAAAAAAAAAACCTTTTTTTTTGGTTTTGAAGAATGACCGAATACATAGTATAAAGATGTCTTGTCACATCATCAAAGTTAGTTTGTTTAATTATTCTTGTCACATTATGTATATGAAAAATGTAGCTAGAAAAAACTATATAATATAATAATAACAATAATAATAATATGCATACCAATTCTTGTCCAAGTTGAATGGCAGCATCTTGGTAGCTAGTTTTTTTGCCAGGACTACTACCACAAAAAACACAGATTCTTTTGAATTTTGAATGCTGAATGTCCATTTGTAAGTTAAAGAGAGAAATTTGAAATAGAAATGTTGGTGTTATTTTAGTTGAAGAAAATGGAAATGGTTGTTTGGAAAATTAGTAATGAAGAAAAGAAGTAGTAGAGTGTACGGTTTATGGTTTGTTAATATCTCATCTCAGCTCAGCTTATGGGTTTGTATATATATATAAAATTTGTGTTGGTCTTCGCACGTGATTGGCTTGGTAGCACGCTTCAACTACTATTGTATTGCTGGTCCCAACTTCCACTTATTACTATTTTAAACTAGAGGTTTTATTTTGTTTTTTTAATGAATGAAAATTAGGAGTAGAGTGGTATTAGCTTTTTTTCTTCTAAGAGAATATTCTCTTCGAGAATTACTCTATTCGAAATTTGTTGTTTTGATCATAATATTATTATAGAAAGAAAAATGATATTCTTAAACTATTTTTTTACTCATAATACACCGTATTTTACTGTTCTCTTATATGATGAACAGTAAATGATTATTATAATAATAATAATTTTTTTAATTAAAAATTTAATTAATTTTTTTATTTTAATTTTAAGATTGAAGGATTATGAAAATAAAATTATGTGATTAATCAATTTCATAATTTCATTAATTATCTTTTTATAATTTATTAATCAACTTCATAATTTTTATAAATTTGGCCAGTTTATTAACCAACTTCATAACTTCATTAACTAACTTTATACATTTCACTAACCAGTTTTTTTTACTATTAAAAATTATTTTTAATATCAGGATATTTATTAATTAATTTTATCATTTTATTAACCAATTTATTATACTTCATTAACCAACTTTATTTTACTACTAAAAATTATTGTTCATATACTATTCACGAACATTGTTCATAAGCATTGTTCATCATTTATTACGATGAACGGTGTATATGGTGTAGGAAATTTTTGTAAGAATAGAAAAGTCGTTATCTTAAATGACAGAGAAAAAAATTATATTTTGAATAAATTATAAATTAATGTGTAGAAAGTAGAAAAGAAGCAAATATGTCGACGAAGGACATAGAAGCTACAGAGAGGCGGGTGTGGTCGGTCGCCGACATCAGCGAATCGCCGATTAGAGTTTGGTCAATGGTGGCGGCGGAGCTCCGGCGCCAAGATTTCGTCTTGCATTGAGTTTGATATGCGGGTGTTAGATTTAGTTATTTTTTATTCGCATATTCATTCGTTGATTAGTCTTGTTTTTTCAAGAAATTATGTATATCCTTCGTGATAATTTCTTGAGAGATAAGAAAAAAATTTAGATCGATTATACGACTTTTTTGTTTGAGACAATTTTTGAATTCAACTTTTTTATATAAAGAAGTATTCTCGAAAGGTAAAAAACAGTCATGCTTATTGTGTTAATTAATTATATCGATCTTTTAATTTATAAAATTTATATGTCTTTTAAGGCTCATTCCATTATATAAACACTTGAAATGTGAAGTTTCTTATACGGTCCTCAAAGAATTTTTCAATCCACTACCACAACATATACTTAACACATAGTCTTTTTTCATTTGTTCCAATAATCTTTCACTTGAATTTAAAAAAAGGATTTCAGAAGTAGCGTTTAAACACGTTTCTCTAAAGTTCTAGATGAAAAAAGGTGTCATCCTACTTGAACCTTAACATAACAAGTAAGATTTTGATTTAACAAGAGTGATTGTGGTCTTCAACCTTATCTTTAACATTATACCGATATACATCTTTTTTGGATGTGTTTTAGACTTTCTCGTTAGTTAATTTATTTGTGAAAGAGGCAACTTAAGTTTTTATCAGTCACGGTATTATTGCATTGTATCAACATATTTTTTAAATGACATGTAGTTATTTATTAATTGTTAGTATATATTTACGTCCTTGTTATGACTTGAAGCCTAGACTGTAAAAACAAGAAGTGTTTCTATATTTGGCCTTAAAATTTTGATGATAACTTTATATGTCATCTTAAAGAACAATTGTATACTGTAATGGTTTTGTCTAGTGTGTAGTTGCTGCTGTAATGTTATAAATCTAGTATTAAGTGTGTGACGTCATCAGTTTTTGAACATAAACATTAATGGATGAAAACATGTGGTTACGTGTTACAGTTGAAGTCAAGATTCTGGAATTCATCTTATGCAACGGGTCTTACAAACGTTAGTACAAGAAATTATGATCGTGATTTTATGGTTAAGCTTTGGAGGCCTTCTAAATCTTTGCTTCTGTGTGTTACAAGTTTTAAAGATTATGAAGACGAGGTTCTGCTGAACAAGTTCTGATGATCTGAAGAAAAACAAGTTCTTAAACCAAGTACTGAAGATGAGGTTCTGATAGGATAAGTTCTGATGACTCCAAGACTTAGGTTCTAAGACTTAAGAGTGATTCTTCTATAACAAGCTTCAAACATTAAAATCATCTGAAGCCTCTGAAAATAAGAAGAAGTTCTAAATGGTTAACGCGTGATAGTGTACAAAAGGTAGAAAAAGTGTTATGTGACCTCTATCCTCTAGGGTGACGTAAGGACGGTCCTTTCGTACTGTATTGTTAACCACTCTGATTGTGACCGTTGGAAACAAACAGCTGGATTTACAATTACTTTATTTCCCTAACGGATCTTTATTTACAAGCTTATTAGAAAAATATTACTTAGAGAAAAGGTGGAAAGCTAACATTGAAAAAGGACAGGCTATAGAAATATTATTTTATATTGTCTAAACTCTTACATCTTATTTTATCCGCTGAGAACTAATCGTTGATGTAGGAAAATACTTTTGTATCCTCACAATCTCTCTCTCTCTCTCTCTCTCTCTCTCTCTCTCTCTCTCTCTCTCTCTCTCGATCTCTCTCTTGCTCTCTCATCTCTCTCTCTCTCCTCTCTCTCTCTCTCTCTCGTCTCTCTCTCTCTCTCTCTCTCTCTCTCTCTCTCTCTCTCTCTCTCTCTCTCTCTCTCTCTCTCTCTCTCTCTCTCTCTCTCTCTCTCTGTGTGTGTGTGTGTGTGTGTGTGTGTGTCTGTGTCTGTGTGTGTGTCTCTCTCTCTCTCTCTCTCTCTCTCTCTCTCTCTCTCTCTCTCTCTCTCTCTCTCTCTCTCTCTCTCTCTCTCTCTCTCTCTCTCTCTCTCAGTCCTATAAAAGAAAATCAAAGACTTGAAGAAAAGTGCCTTTAGCCATCAAGATGAAAAGCCGTGGATGCTAAAGTTATCAAAGCTGCAATGTTAAACATGCTGAAAACCACTAGACAAAAATGAGAGAAAGAAAGAAAGAGAAGAAGAAGAAGACTACAAGATGCTATATAAACTATCATCATATACATCTTGGTAGATCTTAAAAGAAGCAGAGAGTTGTTGCTCGTAACTTGCTCAACAAGAAGATGAAGAAGAAGAACATTATAAGATGCTACTCAACTTCTGATCATATACATCTTGATAAATCATTGTAATGTACACAAGAGTTGTTGCTCGTATTATGCCAGTTCTTATCTCTTCATGTAAATTACTTTAACATAAGAGTTGTTGCTAGAAATTGTATTAAACAATATGTGCTTAAATCACTTATGTAATCTTCTTAGAAGAAGCAATCATGTAAACACAAAAACCTTATCAACTATTATTGATTGATTCTTTGAGTGACCAAGTGAAGGTTTAATCTCAAGAAGAAAATGGTTGCGGTCATTATGGAAAATCCTAATAGAAAATCTTAAGTGATCAGATTATGTTGGGTAAATGGTTATTATATCCGTTAAATCGGATCACTAAACAGATCATTGAAAGGTTCCTTGAGTGACTTTGCAAAGGTCTGATCTCAAGAAGATAATGGTTGTGGTCATTATGGGAAATCTTGATAGGATATCTTAAGTGATCAGATTCTGTTGGGTCAATAGTTTTTATATTCATTAAATCGAATCATTGAACATATCATTGAAAGGTGCCTCGAGTGACTGAGTGAAGGTATGATCTCAAGAAGACAGTGGTTGCGGTCATTGTCGAAAATCCTTATAGGAGATATTAAGTGATCATATTCTATTAGGTCAATGAACATTATATCCATCAAGATCAACGAACGTATCATTGTTTGTTAGTCACAAACGGTTGCATGTGAAATTATAATCAGTTTAAGTTATAGTGGATTAAGTCCTTGTTGAAGGCAAAATCATTCTTGAGGGGGTGGAAAAGATTAACCTTGTTAAGGTGAACCTGGATAAATCTTTGTGTCTTTTACTATTCAATGTCCTTATTGCTTTCATCATTTGAATGAACATAATTTCTAAAGTGGATGCTTTCTATAGACCCAATTCAAACCCCTTATGACTTGTGTTTTCTCTACCTTCAATTGGTATCAGAGTCCGGCTATGTTATTGATTTAAGAATTAAACACTTAACCATGTAGAGAGATCCAGCAAGAGAAAATTCTTGGAATTTTTTAACTCAAATGATTGAAAAGGTTTTCTGATTCAAAACTTGTTCTGTAGAGAAACCAAAACTCTAGGAAAGAATCAGAAATATGAAGTCAGAAATCTTTGGAAACAAGTTCTTAAAATTCTGAAGGCTCATGTACCTGATGGAGAAGGATTTCATCTTCTCATCATCAGAAGCGATGGTCAAAGATCATTGCTACAGATCATCAACTGAAGCATGTCATCTAAATGACAACCGCTACAAGCTGTTATGGATCAAATCAACTCGTCTCAAGCAAGTTCTTTCCAAAAGCTCTGAAGAAGCAACTTGCTCAGAATCAACATAAAGACTGGTTGACAATCAGAATCTATTTTGGCTAAAGGAAGTCAAACAAAAAAGAAGTCATATGCTGAGAGTCAAACTAAATGCCCTCGGCTCAGTATCTATGATAACATCCCCACTGGCTAAAGAAACATCAGGACAAAGAATGATATATGAAATATAAGAAGTGATTAACAGATTAGATGATCAAAAACAAGCTCAACGATGAAGGTCAATTCTTCACAAGCAGAATATACCAAGTCAGATATTACATGTTTTTTGATAGAATAT